GCCAGTCCTATAGCACAGTAGTAGTTAAGCACAGAACACAGGAACTCAAACCTCACATACAGTTCAAATTCTGGAGGCTTGAAAAACATGCCAAATATATGTATATATGTACACAAAATCATGACAGAATGGAGAAATGGAGGAAAAAGGATTATGGTGTGACCATCCCCCACTCAGGAATGTACTCTCTTATGAGCATACTTGCTTAGCCTCTGACCAAAAAAATAAGAAAATCCTACAAATGTATATCTTTTTAAGAATTATTTTATTTAACTTCATTTATTATTATTATTATTTTATAATTTGACCAAAGAGAGACAGAGAAGGAACATGAGAAAGCAAGCTACCATGTCTGGGACTCAAACCATGGTTAGCCATGTAGGAATCCAGCACTTTTAACCACCATTCCATCTGCCAGCCCCCCTACAAATGTATTTTATAATTCTATCCTGGATGAGGGAACCAGTTATGAAGTTAAATATTGCTTATACAGAATTTGTTTAGTCTATAAATGTAATAAATATAAATAGCACAGTTCATATTTAATAATTAAACAATTCATAATCTATACATATGTACAGTGAGGTTGAACACTACCTGGAACCTTGAAAGACTATTTGGAAATAGTCTTTGCAAATATAATTAGCTAAAATAAGATCTGGATTAAAAATGAGACTGGATTAAAGTAGACCCTAAATCCAAAGACTGATATGTTTATACAAAGAGGAATCACAGTTCTTTCTCATTATACAGATGGCAAGTGAAAAAGCTGTGAAGCATGATACTAAGGAAAAGAAACCTGAAGCCAAGAAGACTGATTGCCAGTGGCAAGGTTAAAAAGGGTGACCCAAGGGGGAACCAGCAGTTAGCGTAATGGCTAGGTCGCTGGACTCCCACGTAATTGACCGCAGTTCACGTCCCGGACCCGGTGGCTTGATACTTCCGATCTGCCATGTATTCCAGGAAGGCCAAGTATACAAGAGGAAATGCTCAGCCACTAAATCCAGGACTGAAAAGAAAAAGGAGAAGGTTCTTGCGACTGTCACAAAACCAGTTGGTGGAGAAAAGAATGGTGGTACCCAGGTAGTTAAACTGAGCAAAATGCCTAGGTGTTATGCTACTGAAGATGTGCCTCAAAAGCTATTGAGCCATGGCAAAAAACCCTTCAGTCAGCATGTGAGAAAGCTGCGAGCTAGCATCACTCCTGGTACCATTCTGATCATCCTCACTGGACGCCAGCAGGTATCGTCACTTGCCGCCAGAGGCAAAAGAGCTGTTTTCCTGAAGCAGCTGAGCAGTGGCTTGCTACCTGTAACTGGACTGCTGGTTCTCAATGAAGTTCCGCTGCATAGAACACACCAGAAATTTGTCATTGTTTACCTCCACGAAAATTGACATTAGCAAAGTAAAAATCCCAAAGCACCTTACTGACATTTCAAGAAAAAGAAACTACAGAAGCCCAGACACCAGGAAGGTGAGATCTTCAACACAGAGAAGGAGAAAATACAAGATTTCAGAGCAGCGCAAGTTGATCAGAAAGCTGTGGACTTGTAACTTTTACCAAAAATCGAAGCTGTTTCTCAGCTCCAGGACTACCTGTGTTTGCCTTTACAAATAGAGTTTATCCTCACAGATTGGTGTTCTAAATTTTTTGCCAAGAACCTAATTAAATAACCGATAATAAAAAATAATAATAATAATAAAAGAGAAATTGCAATGAGAAGGTAGCCATGTAAGTCTAAAGACAAAGGCTGGAGTGATAAAACTATAAGTCGAAGAATGAGGAGAATTGCCAACCACCACCAGAAACTTGGAGAGGTGAGACACAGGTTCTCCCTCAGAGCTTCAGATGAAACCAACCATGATTTTGGACTTAGATTCTCCTACATAGTGAGAGATAACACCCTTGTTTCTCACAAGATCATGTTGTTGGAGCCAACAGGTTAAGACAATGGACTCCCACATGGCCGACCAAGGTTCAAGTCCCAGACCTGGAGGTTTGCTTTCTCACTTTCCCTCTCTGTCTTTCTCTGGTGAGTGGCATGTGCTGTATAGCAAAATTTTTTAAATAATAAATAACTTCTTTTTTGAGAGAGATTTTTTGCTATAGGATTCATGCATTTGCCAGAAAGACAGAAAAACATAAAGTGATAAATCATCCCCCAGAGGAGATGGCCACGTTGCAATCCCTTCCCCTCCATTCTCCTCCTAGGATCCTGAGCACACATGCAAATGCCCAGGGTGAGCTTGAAGTCACCAGGTACAGGACTCGAACTGCAATCAGCCATGTGGGAGTCAAGTGCCTGTAATTGGTCGTGTGAGAGTCCAGTCCAGCAGTATAACCACTGCGTCATCTGCTGGCCCCCTAATTTTTTACAAAATGATCATGTTGTCTTAAGCCACCAATTATGGTAAATTGTTGAAGTCAATCACAGGAAATTAATACATTATCCATCTCCAAAATAGTAATACAAAAGTTCAAGAGTCAGGAATAAGAAAAGACTTAACCTTTAAGACTTGACTTAAGCATGTCCAGCCCAAGGCTTGGTGGTTAAAGCAGCTGAATACCACATGGCTGATCACATGACTCAAGTCCTGGAGCCTGCAGCTTGAAAAACACACCTGGCTCAGATGCATATATGCCCAAAATCCTGAAAAGAGGGATAAATGGAAGAGAAGGGATTGCACTGTATGTAACTGTTGTGGGAGAGAGGTTTTCTCCCTCTCTGTTTCTGGCAAGTATACATGCCCTTTGGCAATAAAAAAAAAAAAGTAAGTGATAGATAAGTCTCTCAAATTGGGCTTTTTTTGCAATATTAAGACCAACTAGAATATAAATCTTGAGCTAGACAAGTACACTAATTTTCTTGGATCAACAAAATCAAGCAAACTGAAAATGATATGCTTTATATTTAAATGAAGCTATGAAAACCTTCCGTTTCAAAGGGCAAGTTCCCTGGGTAACACAACAGTGTACATCCTCTAAATGACTTCCCTTGCACACCAGAAAAACATCTATTTTATTTGGGCAACAAGAATATGAACATGAATCTCTACCCATCACTTTCTTACTAGTTGAGCACTATGACCAAGTGACTTAACTTTCTTTATTCTTCTTAACGTTTTTTTTGGCCAGTTTTCTCATCTGTAGAATAGAGAAAATGATACTAACCTCATGGAATTACTAAGAGTATCAGTATGAAAACACTTAGCAAGTGTCATGAACTCTCCTGGGCCTCTAAAAATGACAACTATTATTATTACCACTTTACTAGGAATCTGAGAAGCTCAAATAAGCTTATAAACAAATGTGTTCAGTTTAACATGTGTAAACCAAGGGCCAGCCATGAAATGACTCAAGGTCTCAATGAGTAAGGAACAAAACTAAGACAATGGAACTGAAGAGTCTCAACTTAGACTCCTCTAACCCATCATTTAGTAGGCACTTCCTGGTCTTAAAATATGTCCCAGCATCAGATTTTGCTATAATTACAGATACAATGAAAACACCTATGCTATGAATCAGGTGACCATTCCATGAGAAGTTAATTTTACTACTGGTAAAAAATAAGAAAAGTCATAACACATTTTTGCATAGAAAAACATGAAAAATACATCATTACTTTTCTGACAACCCATAGGTTGTTTAGCTTTCCTTTATTTAGTACTTTTATCTCTTATAAACCAATAACCAAGTATGTCCCTTTTCACTTATTTATTTATTTATTTATTTTGGGGGAGAGGTTTTTGCTATAGGGCGCGTGTGCTCACCAGACAGACAGACAGAGACAGAGAGACAGAAAGCGAGAAATCACCTCCCCCCCTAGGGGAAATGGCCATGCCGCAATCCCTTCTCTTCCATTCTCCTCTTGGGATCTTGGGCACATGCACACATGCACCCGTCATGAGTTTAAACCACCGGGTGCGGGACTCAAACTGCAGTCAACTACATGGGAGTTCAGCAACATAGCCATTACGCCAACTGCATGTCCTCCAAGCATGTCTCTTAAGAATACCATTAGTGCTATTACCACCAGCATTTCAGATGGAGAATCTGAAGTAAACTAATCCTGATCATCACAGTCAGTCAGGTGCAAAATCCAAATTAAACTTTTTTTTTCTTTCTAGTTTGCTATAGAGCACATGTGCTTGCCAGAGAACGAGAGAAATCACCTCCAAGGAGATTCACGCCACAATCCCTTCTTCATTCTCCTCTTAGGATTCTGGGCATGCATATACACACACACACACACACACACACACACAAACACACACACGGAGTGTTTTCAAGCTTCTGAGTGTAGGATTTAAACCACGCAGTTGGCCATGTGGGATCCAGCTGCCTTAACCACCATGCCACCAGCTGGCCAAATAAAACTTTAAATATACTTTTTTTCCCCCCTTCTTCTTAAGGTTTTTGCCATAAGGCACATGTGCTCACTGAAGAGCGACAAGAGAGACAATGAGAGGGAAAGTAAGAAACCATCCCCCCCCAGGGGATGGTCATACCACAATCCCTTCTCCTCCATTCCCTCCTGGGATTTGAGGCACACATGTACATGCACCCAGTATAATTTTTTAAGTTACCAAGTCCGGGATCCAGCTGCCTTAACTCCACACCACCTGCTGACCCAAACGAATTAAATTTTTGTTTTGTTTTTAAATTTTCGCTATAGGACACATGCTCATCAGACAGAGAAAGACAAAGGAAAAGTGAGAAATCACCCCCAGTGGGGATGACCATAACACAATCCCTTCTCCTCCATTTTCCTCTTAGGACTTTGAGTACACATGCACATGCACCTCACAAGTTTTTCAAACTGCAGGGTCCAAGACTCAGACCACAAAGACGGCCATGTGGGATCCAGCAACCTTAACCTCCATGCCATCAGCTGGCCCAAAAGATACTAATCTTTCTAAGAGACCACTCTTTGTCTCTTAAGCATTCACTTGACTCATAATTGACATTTAGGTCATTAATATTTAACATTATAACACACCTTTCAATTTCCCATCAAAGTCTGGGCTTGTGGCCACCTGCAATCCTGGATGTGGTAAGAGAAAACAGGTGACGTCAGAGAAACATGAGTGAATGTGATTTCGGACATTCTGAATTTCTTCATGTTGATGTTCTTTCACCTGCCAATAAAGACAAACAATTTACCAAAGAGTATTTTGTTTTCTTCACTATGAACTACTTGGCTTTCTTCACTAGAAACCACTCATGAGGACAAAAGAAAGACTTCCCAACTGTGATATATCATAATGGCCAATGAGAAATCTCAAAACTCTAAGAAGCAATAAATACATAAATTTTAATAACCATGGTTTGGATCCTACATCTAACAAAGAACAGATACTAAACAATTTCAGTATCATACAATACTTAGAACAAGGGAAGATTTGGGACACAAAGAAGGATCTCACTAGTTAGTAGTAACTAATTTAAGACTCCTATGGGACCAACAGGTACACAGAGGTTAAGGTGCTGGATCCTACATGGCCAACAGTGCGGTTCAAGTCCTGGATCCAGCAGATTGAATACCACACTGGGAGCATGCGCGTGTGTGTATCCAAAATCCCAAGCAGTGAATGGAGAGAAAGAAACTGAAGCATGGCTATTCTTTCTAGGGGGGTAATTTCTCACTTTCTCTTCCTCTCTCTGTTTATGGCAAGTGCATGTGCCCTACAGCAAAACTAAAAAAAAAGAAAGACTCCTGTATTTGTTTTCATGGAACAGGCTGAGTCTGTTTAAACTCATCCCAAAACAAATGAGAATTCTAAAAACAAAAGAACTAAAAGTCCGACATTCTAAAGGAACATATAAACCCTGGTTTAAAATGGGAAATGAGGGGCTAGCAGGTGGCATGGCAGTTAAGGCGTGGGAATTCCCACATGGTCAACTGTGATTTGAGTCTTAGACCTGGTGACTAGCTTTCTCTCTCTCGCTCTCTTTCTCTCTTTTTTTCTGTCTTTCTCTGGCAAAACCCATGTAAAAAATAATAATAACAATAAATAAATAAAATAAATAACTTTTAAAAAAAATGTGAAATGGGAACTAAAATCAAAACTTGGGATTTTGCCCAGAGTTTTTTTCTACACTTTTTGTGTACCAAATACTCAGGGTCTTTATTCTTACTATGAATAAATAATATTAGTTTGTGTTTAGATTTGTACATCTTTTAAATGATTTATTTATTTTATTTTATTCATCATTAATTTTTTTTGTTTTTAATTTGACCAGAGAGAGAGAAAGAGAAAGCCATCCACCAAGTCTAGGACTCAAACCACGGCTGGTCATGTGGGAATCCAGTGCCTTCACCACACCAACTGCTGGCCCCAAGACTTGTACATTTTTAACACACTTATGTGATTTTCATTAATCTGCTTTACAAACAACAGCCAAAGGCCAAAGATTATATTCTTGCTAACCTGTAAACGCTTATCCAAAAATGCCATTCCTCCTTGTAGTCCGTAATTGTATTCATAAGGAAAACTCCAGTCTCGAACCAAAAACATCAGAGTCTATTTAGGAGAAGAGAAAAACATGTAATGATGCATAAATGCATTTTAAAGACAACTCCTTACTTCTTTGCATAATGCCTTCTTCAAAGGGAGACAAGGAAATGTGCTGAAGGACAGATCTATTTTGTAATGTCTTAGAAGCTTTAGAAACACTAGAAAGACATAAAGTCAAATATGAGGTCAGTATATCCTATCTGCTATTTTTGTTCCCACAGGTTAGTAAGTTGGAGCTCTGTCCTAAAGGCAAATATGAGGACTGTGGTTAAGGATAAAAGAGAAAAAAACGTGGCACTAGCTAATCATAAAAATCAAATCTGATTTTTTTTTATCACTAGAAAGGGAAGAAAAAATATCTATGTACTGAAAGCACCTCTATCTTATGGAAGTTACTGTGCTTTTTCATCCTCATAAACAATAAGCTAAAGCAGGGGTCAGCAAAGGTTTCTCATTAAAGGACAGAAAGTAAATATGTTAAGCAACTACTCAACTCACCTGTTGTAGCAAGAAAGTTGCCATCGATCCATCAACAAATGAGCATGGCTATGAGCCATTACCACTTTAGCTATGGACATTGACATTTGAATTTCAGACAATTTACCCATGTCATGAAATATTATTCTTGTCATTTTTTCCAACCATTTAAAAGTGTAAAAAAAACATTCTTGGCTTACAAGTCATATAAAAACAGGTAACAGACCAGATTTGGCCTGTGAACTATAGTTTATTAATCTGTGAACTAAAACAAAGATACAAATCACATTCATAGTTAATATTCTACCTGGAAGGGTTTTTGGAAAATTTCATCCATTGCCAGTCGACCGTATTCTGTGAAGAGCTTTAAAAAAGAACAGTTATGATTTTAAGGCAAAATTACTTAAAATGATTCTATGGCTATACTTTAGCAAAGTATTCATTTAACAGACTGTGTGTTACTTATATTGAAAGCAATGTTTCAAAAGCCCACAAGAGCTATAAACCTAAAAATAATCTTGGTTATTCCTCCCTCTCACAGCAAATACAGAATCCAACCACTTGCTACTTCCACATAGCCTGAAATACTGCAGTGGCCTCCTAAATGGTCTCCCTGACTCAGCCCTTGCTTCCCTACAGACTACTATCAATACAGCTCTGTTATAAGGTTAGTTGGAGCATACGCCTTTGCAACCTCATATAAGATAAAAGCCAGTCTTTCTAGTGCAGTCCAACCACATCAGTCCTCTGTGCCCTTCCTCAAGCATGCTGGCTGGGCACAATGCCTTCAAGGCCTTTAGAGCGGCTTCCCTGTGCCTATAATGTTCTTCCTCAGAATGTTGGCATGATCAGTTCTCTCACTTCTTTTTTATTTTTTCTAAGAGATTTTTGCTATAGGACATATGCACTCACCAGAAAGACAGAAAGCAAGAAATGACCCCCTAGTGGGGCTGGCCGCACCACAATCCCTTCTCCTCTGTATGGGCGTGCACACACACATGCCTGGTCTGAGTTTCAAGCCATCGGGTCCAGGACTCAAACCATGGTTAGCCATGTGGGAGTCCAACAATGTAATCATTATGCCATCTGCTGATCCCAGCTCCCTTCTTAAGGTCTTTATTCAAATGGCTCCTTCTTCTTTTTTTTTTTTTTTAATTTTTTATTATCATCATAATCTTCTTTATATTACATTGGATTACATATAACTTTACAGTGTATTACATTGCTTTTTCAAATGGCTCCTTCTCAATAAAGCCTTCCATGTCATCTATCTAAAAAGATTATAACTTTTCACACAGTATTTCCTACTGTGTCCTTCATTTTTCTCCTTAACATTTGCCACTATCCAATATATTGTAGTATACATCTTTACTTGCCTTGGTTAGTGTCTGTCTTCGCTACTAGTTCTTAAGCTCCGTAAGGGCAGGAACATCGGCTTTGTGAACTACTACATATCCAACAAGTAAAGTATGGAATTTATGTCATTCAAATGACTGACTGAATAAATTATCTAAGATTGGGGTTTACACGTATGTAGTGTACCTCTATTTCTTCATGCACCCTCACCAAAAATACAGCAAAATGAAGTTTAAGAGTTATAGACTCACAGGACAAAAAGGCTGGGAAAAATCATGACAGTAGAAAAGAAGTGTCAAAAATACTCTGGATGGAAAATGGACAAATGAGAACTGTCTTGAATTTTGGTTTTCCCTACTCCACTAAGAAATCTAGGAGAGGAAGGGACTGACAAGAAATAAGCAGATTCTTGGGAACTAGCAGTTAGCGTAATGACTATGTCGCTGGATGCCCACGTAGTCGACCGCGGTTCGCATCCCGGACCCGGTGGCTTAAAACTCACGCCGGGCGCGTGTGCGTGCATGCCCAAGATCCCGAGAGGAGAATGGAGGAGAAGGGATTGGGGCGTGACCATCCCCCCAGAGGGTGATTTCTCGCTTTCTGTCTCTATGTCTCTGTCTGTCTGGCAAGCGCACGCACCCTATAGCAAAAACCTCTCAAAAAAAAAAAAAAGAAAGAAAGAAAAGAAATAAGCTGATTCTCTCAGCAGACTTCCTAGGAAGGCTCATAAATGATAAGCATGCAGTTAACTTGCAGGAGGGGATGTGGGAGAGGTGCAGACAACTATTTTTTTTTTTTTTAATTTTTTATTATCATCATAATCTTCTTTATATTACATTGGATTACATATAACTTTACAGTGTATTACATTGCTTTTTCAAATGGCTCCTTCTCAATAAAGCCTTCCATGTCATCTATCTAAAAAGATTATAACTTTTCACACAGTATTTCCTACTGTGTCCTTCATTTTTCTCCTTAACATTTGCCACTATCCAATATATTGTAGTATACATCTTTACTTGCCTTGGTTAGTGTCTGTCTTCGCTACTAGTTCTTAAGCTCCGTAAGGGCAGGAACATCGGCTTTGTGAACTACTACATATCCAACAAGTAAAGTATGGAATTTATGTCATTCAAATGACTGACTGAATAAATTATCTAAGATTGGGGTTTACACGTATGTAGTGTACCTCTATTTCTTCATGCACCCTCACCAAAAATACAGCAAAATGAAGTTTAAGAGTTATAGACTCACAGGACAAAAAGGCTGGGAAAAATCATGACAGTAGAAAAGAAGTGTCAAAAATACTCTGGATGGAAAATGGACAAATGAGAACTGTCTTGAATTTTGGTTTTCCCTACTCCACTAAGAAATCTAGGAGAGGAAGGGACTGACAAGAAATAAGCAGATTCTTGGGAACTAGCAGTTAGCGTAATGACTATGTCGCTGGATGCCCACGTAGTCGACCGCGGTTCGCATCCCGGACCCGGTGGCTTAAAACTCACGCCGGGCGCGTGTGCGTGCATGCCCAAGATCCCGAGAGGAGAATGGAGGAGAAGGGATTGGGGCGTGACCATCCCCCCAGAGGGTGATTTCTCGCTTTCTGTCTCTATGTCTCTGTCTGTCTGGCAAGCGCACGCACCCTATAGCAAAAACCTCTCAAAAAAAAAAAAAAGAAAGAAAGAAAAGAAATAAGCTGATTCTCTCAGCAGACTTCCTAGGAAGGCTCATAAATGATAAGCATGCAGTTAACTTGCAGGAGGGGATGTGGGAGAGGTGCAGACAACTAAAGAAATGTTCCACCGTCTTTGGAAAGATCACCTCCCTTCCCCCATACTCTTCCTGTCCCTACAGAAGATGGGAAGTTACTATCTGAAGAAAAACGGAAAAAAAAAAAAAAGAAAAATCCAAACTAGAGCACCAAAATCACCTTGCTAGGTGCCACAGCAAGCTTCTACCCATTCAGGCAGGAGTTTTAAAGAAATCTTCAGGTTAGCCTACAGTCTAGTTGTTAAGGGAACTGGATACCAAATGGCTGGCTGAGTTCAAAATCCTGGCCCCAGGCTTGAAAAACATGCCGGGTGCATGTATGTGCATGCCCAGCAGAATGGAAAAATGGAGAAGGGACTGTGGCATGACCATGACCCCTTTCAGGGAGTGCTTTCTTCCTCTCCTTCTCTCTGTCTTTGGCAAGCACATATGCCCTCTGCCAACTTGGAAGAAAAAGGAAGAAGTCTTCTCTAGAGAAACTGTGATCAATACCTAGTTACTTTCTATGCTCTAAGTAGTTTTCCAGTTGATTCTTGTGAATTTCCAGACACATGTCTTTTCCTTTGTAATGTTTATGTTTATGTAGCTGCTTGTCAAGTGAGACAAGTTCTCTAGCCAGTAAGGCCCATTACTTAATGTGTGTAAATCTACCACATGTATCTTTATCTCACCTATATATCAGTGTCCGAAAGACAGCCACATCCCTTCCCCTCGGCTTTATAGTCTATGGCACTGACACCATCATCCACATAATGCTCTGGATCTCCCTTCGCCCACCTCCCAGACACTTCCACTGTACCATCTGCAACTTCAGATCCACAATGAACAAACTCCTCTAAATTTCCAGCTGCGGGCCCAGACCCAGTAGTACACTTGACAACATATAAAACTGCAGTACTGAGAGACACATGGCCAACTGTGGGTTCAGATCCCCAGTCCAGTGGACCTGAAACACATAGATGAGCATGCACCCAACATTCTGATTCTTCTTTGACCTTACCATGACTTCCCTACCAAAGATCCCTCTACTTTCCCACCCTAGGCCCTCTTCCAGAATTTTCTCTCCAGTCAAGACACTTAAAAGTTATCCATAACATCTACTGCTACCTCAACTCCCAAAGCCTTGCAACGCCAAGTCTATAGCTGCTGCATAAATCACAAACAGTACAGCCAGAGTATTTACTACCGAAGAAAAAAAAATCAATACTGTATTTTTACTGGGAATAATCTCCAAATATTAATAAGTATTGCCTTTATAACTGTCCCCACTTAAAACTCCATCTATTTAATGGGACTCAAGAATATAAAGTAATAGAACCCAAAGCACTAGTTTAGAAGTCATAAAAAGTGGACAGACAGGGCCAGGTGTCACAGAGGTTAAGGTGCTAGATCCCATGTGGCCAACTGCATGGTTTGAGCCCTGGACCCTACAGCTTGGAAAAATCACACCAGGTGTGTATATGTGAGTGTCCCAAATCCCAAAAGGAGACTGAAGGAGAAGGAACTGTAGTGTGGTCGTCCCCTCTAGGGAGTGATTTCTTACTTTCCCTCTTTGTGGAGCATACCCACCCTATAGCTAAAACTTAAAAAAAAAAAAAAAAAAAAAAAAAGAGGCCAGACAGTGGTACATCAGTAAAACACAAGACTCTTGAAGGCAATTCCACATGGGAAGATTTCTGGTACAAGTCCAGAGACCTTCCCGAGTATGCCAGGTACCTGTTTGCCCATGATCTAGAACTGGATGAAGGCTAGGAACAAACTGCAATGTAAAGACCCTGTTGAGGGGAACGAGCAGTTAGCGTAATGGCTATGTTGCTGGACTCCCACGTAGTTGACTGCGGTTCGCATCCCGGACCCGGTGGCTTAAAACTCACGCCGGGCGCATGTGCTTGTGTGCCCAAGATCCCGAGAGAAGAATGGAGGAGAAGGGATTGCAGCGTGACCATCCCCCCTGGGGGGTGATTTCTCGCTCTCTGTCTCTAATGTCTCTGTCTGTCTGGCGAGCACACGCACCCTATAGTGAAAATCTCTCCAAAAAAAAAAAAAAAACCCTGTTGAGAATGCTTGCTTCTCTCTTGCATGTAGAAAAAATAAGTAAATTTTTTAAAAAGTCCTAAAATGTAATTTTTGAATTGCATTCAAAGAAAGGGAGTATGGTCTAAATGAAGTAGAAGAGATACTTTAAAAAAAAAAAAAAAAAACGCTTATCTCAAAAGTTGCAAGAATTCAGTAAATTGA